ACGTTTCCTTCTTTGTTATTTCTATAGGGAAGGGTCCTCCTGTTGAATCGTACACGGTTTGATTTCATTCCGGTGGCTCACAAGAAAGTGGTGAGTGCAAATTAAAGCATCACGCAAATTGTTAATAGTCGCTCTACCACCTCTACTTTTTCAACGCAAAGAAAAAACCCAAGAGACGTCCGCGAATTCGATGATCAAATAAAACAGGGAGCATTATTTGAACAGTCCACTTATCACGTTCGTTTGTCTAGGTGCGGAATTAGGGCAAATTCGAGATTGTGCTCGGCTATGTATAGTGTATAGGTTCTAACACGAATCAGCCTGTGTGATCTGCTCGACCACATTTAATTTTTAATAGGGCAGAATAGAGGTAGTTTGAAGGACACAATATGAAGTAATTTAAGATCAGTAAAAACTCATGAGTGTATCTGTGGAAACCGAGTTGACTTTGTATTGCGGTCCTCGCTGCTAACTCGCACGTTTTAATTTTGGTCTCGCTTTAATTTTTGTTTCTATTCTCTTCGACCAAAGAGATTTCTTTCTTGGACTTATTTGCTATTGTTGAGGTGCTTTTGGCTAAATTGGTGCTCAATACTGTCTTCTTTTTAGCCGCTGATTTGTTTTTACTACTTATTCTTCCACCGCGGTTTCAGGGTAAGCGAAAGATTTTTTTCGTTTTCTGGAACGATGACATTGTTTCAGCTGATCGGTATCACTGTAGTCCCCTGGGAGCTCGTTAGTGATGACCATTAGTCCTGTCCCATCAGCAGGAACATATTCTGATGGTTTATTGACGTGCTTGTCGCGGTTATCATGCCTCTATGCTGGAGAGCACTTACTCCTACCAATGTAGTCTGTTTTTAACTCCTAATGCGGACGTTACATGTGGTCGAGTTTGCTATTGGCTCTCCTCCTTGTTCTGAGGATTGTTATCGTTCAAGATTTTGCTTGCTTTGCATGTACCTATACTGAAAGATCGAAACGTTGCCTTAAAATGGAAGGGAGTGTTACGTTATTGAGCACTTTTGAATGAGATTTTTGCGTCGTGTAAAGGTTAATTTACACAATTCAGCGCAAGACAAAAGTATAACGCTCCAAGGAAACGCTTGGATTGTAATCCAGCACTCCAAATCACTTTAGCGTTTATTATACTGTGAGCGCAAATCCCATTCAAGCGTGCAAGCAGTTTTCGTTAACATTACGCAAACTGTACTTACAATTAATGACGTTGCTGTAATCGAACACAGTAGATGACGTGCGATTAAAAAGTCATTTAAGAACTCGTGCGGCACACAGCCAGCAGCCTCGTGCTTTCTTCGGTTTTTCGTCCTCGAATCACGACTATCTTAACTCCCCCTTAACCCACTCCTGTGCCGGCCGTAACCGGCCGTGACGAGCGTTCGCCTTTGTTCCACTTCTGATGTCATCACCCTTGACGAAAATTGGCATCATCTATACTCAAGTCCTGCAGAAGGAGAGGATCCTAGCAATGACACCCAGATCAGAGTGGTCGGCTCAATGGAGCCTAAGATATGTACGAAAATGCTCCGAAATTTGAGTGAAAGACTCTCAGCAAAATTTTCTGCGATTGCACTTAGTTCCTCCATGTTATTATATGGCTGTGTCTCACAAGGACTGGGAACTACCGAATTCACGACTTTGATTGGCTGAAATCGATATTTACCGCGGTCTAGATTTTCCCATCTAGGCCGGCATCTAGACCGGTTTCATTTTGCATTGAAAAAGTAGCGAACTAAAATACAAAAATGCTCACCATTTTCTTTTATTTTCTGCTCAATCATTTATGGAAGTGCCAAAAAGCCTGATGACAAAAAAAAAAGTAAAGAGGACGAGCAAATTTCGGCAGGT